GGAGATGAAGTAATCACTGCATCGTCTCAAGACGAGGGCGGACATGGTAGCAATGGCAGGGCGTTTTATGGTACACGCGAACGTCTTGAAAATTAGCCTTCGATTTTTTGAAACCACAAATCTAAGAAGCTTGGTATTTGAATGGAAACACAGTAGTAATCGTTATATTATTTAGAAGACTGAGACTTATTTACACCACTTGTAAGTCCACTTTTAAATCGCTACGTTTGTCTGCGCCTGAGGAAGCACTTGCGAATTCCACAAGAATTGGTGCCGTTTCTCTTTGTTCCTCGGAACCAGATAGATACTGGCGCCAACTATTTTCCAGTTGTTGTAACTCTTCACACATTTCAATAGCCATCTCGTCACATTCACCATTTTCTCCAATAATTCCAAACTCGGCAAAAGCCATATTACGCAAGGATTGTAGTTGGGCATCCAATACGGCCATTTTCGATTGTTGCACCTTGTTCAACATATAGTTCTCAAGTTTCACCGTCTCCGAAACTGCCTGAATACGTCGGATTTTCACTGGCTGTATGATATTAGGAGGAACACATTCTGTTGCTTGAGGAACACCCTCTAAAATGGAGTTTCAACTAATAATTGCTTAAATAAATATCTTACCAGAAAGAGCAGATGAATAAGTATATACATTCGTATTTGGAGCACGAATTTGTGAATTTTGAAGGCGACGTGAACTGCGCGAACTTCCAGTCAAATCATCGGATGTAATTTCATGGTTATGTTGCATATTGAGGTGGAAAATTTGCACATAACCTTTGTAAGTCTGGATAACCACGTAGGCCTTGCAACCTATTCGCTTGCTTCAAATAGAGGGCAACAGCCTTAAAGAGATCCGATATCATAAAAAGCGGGTAACATTTATGCACGTACCTATTAACTGGCCGGGATGTTGCATTACTTTCTGACCAACCGTAGCGAACACATTCAAAATGTGCTCGGGCGTAAACTAAATGCTGTTTATCAATTGCGTCTGCAGGCCATCTCACGGTGTGACGTTTGACATACGAAGAGCCAGTATGCTAAATGTGCGGTAGAATAATGATTAAATTTATTTGAACAATTTACGCTCTGAAAAGCGATTAAAAGATTGTGGAATTCTTCAAAAGTTGAGTATTGATCAACGGGAAAGTATTGGCGAAATACATTAGTGAGATCACAAACGACGTTATATTCTAGAATTTTCAGTGGAATTACTTGACCATGTACCTTCTTCGGGCATCGGTCCATGAATATGATGCATATTAAAACGTGTTACGTAAACACCACACTTTTTAGATCCAACAGCAAAAAAGGCGTTACAATAGGAAACCGAACATGTAAACTGTCCCTGTTTAAGAAGGAGATTTGGCAGGTTTGGCAGTGGTTCCTGACGACTTAACACGTGTCTACGAGCGAACCGTACACCAGTCGACTAGAAAGGTTACGATTTTCGATGGATGCAAACCTTTCTAAAATCTTCACAGGCTTTTTCAAATTCTGCATCAGATGTAAAATGCTTCCCGGTGAATAGATGCTCAAATGTTTCGGTTAAATCCATTAATTAACTTCATATACGACACAGCAGACAAGTATAACGATAGATAGTCAAAACGACCGCTTGAAATTGAGTTGCGTAAAAATTTAATATGGGCTTGAGTCTGAGTACTCTCTGACTTTGATTAACTAATGATTATATAACTTAATTGATTCTTAATGAACACTTTTTTCTAAATATGCTTTTATAAAGGCTGCCATTATTGTCTATTAAACGACATAACTATATAAATTATCAAGCATTTAATCAAGAAAATTAAAATGCGAACGGTACAATTTATGCTTCTCAAACCCTTTTTAATTGAATATTGAATTGAAATATTCTAAACTATTTTTAATTATGTCTAAGACATTTGATGATTTGACATATATCCTTTATAGAACATTTTTCCAGTAATACTAAACGAAATGAGGTGTTCTTTAATAAAAGCATTTTAACTGCATGTTGTATGTGTGCATTTATTAAGTAAAGCTTAACACATGAAATTAATATACTAACTTAAAATAATGTTTGAATTTAACATCTCGGTAGATAATCTGATTTATTAGAGGCAATTTAATGTATTTGCGTTTGTCACTTTAATAACATGAAATACTTAGCAGGATTAGCTTAGATGAGGATATATTTCTTAGTTGTAAATCATCTATGGCATAATTTACATCATTTTACAATAACATATAACTTCAATAATTTCTGTCTATATCAATCGTACATTATTATCTTTAATAATTTTGACATTTATTAGCATTTTGTTATCTGGAAATTATGCGTTGTGGGCGATTATATGACCAATATCATTAAAATTAAAATATCTAGATTGAACTTTGCGCTAATCTTAGCTTCTGTTATTTACTTTATAAAGAAATGGTCAAATATTTATTTTTTAATTTAATTTACTTTTTTTGATATTCCATTTGTGACGGTCGGAAACAGTTTTTGAAATTATAAGTTGGACTAATGCACTTACAATTAATTCTCTCAGCTAAAATCGGGCATTAATTGATATACTTTATTACAAAAGTAGATGACTTGCAGTTTGATTATTGCTTTCAATAATGTCATTAAATTACATCGAATGCTTTTTTCTTGTTCTCTAAATCTAGCACTACTATTAAAGACAATCACGAAAAAAACAAGTGATTTCTTAATTATCAAATAATTTTTACAATTTTTCAATCTTAAACAATAAATATTAATATTATTTATTTTAGTCAATTTTCTTTCTCCAGGCCATTATCTGGCTTTACGGCGCTGAACGCATTAACGCGCGTTGTCCGTTTAGTGTTCTTTCAGCTTTAACATAGTTCGACTTTAACGATGAGCCTTGTTCGTCAAAATTTTCACGAAGAATGTGAAGCAGGTATTAACCGACAAATAAATATGGAACTTTATGCCAGTTATCTCTATCTGGCTATGTCCCACCATTTCGATAGAGAAGATGTAGCTCTCCCTGGCTTCAAGAAATTTTTCGCCAAACAGTCCGAAGAAGAGCGCGAACATGCTATCAAGGTAAGGGGTAAATATTCAACTTCTATTTCTCAAGCTAATGAAATATCAATGCAAGAGAGGCGGACGCATTGTCTATCAAGACATTGCTAAGCCCCAGAAATCTGAATGGGCCAGTGGCCTAGAAGCCATGGAAACAGCTCTGAAAATCGAACGTGAAGTTAACGACTCCCTTCTTGCTTTACATGATGTTGCCACAAAACATAATGACAGTCAGTTCTGCGATTTCCTTGAGGGTAATTTATCCGGATTTTTATGCTTAGTTAAAATTCTAAATATTCCAATCAATCACTCTCCCATCTATTGCAGCTGAATACCTGGAAGAACAAGTGGATTCAATCAAGGAATTCGCCGATTTTGTCACCAATCTACGACGCGTTGGTCCTGGCTTGGGAGAGTATATCTTCGACAAAGAGACTCTTCATGGCGAAGAGAACTAAATCAAGTCGCACTCCCATCCGTATTTCTACGTCCCAATTTTCCAACTTTAAATATCGATGCATTATTCATTAAATAAAGTTTTTACATTGCTAACTAAAACCCTGTGCCATTTCATCTGTTTCCAATGTGGTCCTATATGCATTTTGATTAGTATCAAGAAATTGTTATTGGGACAAATTTTATGGGGCGTACGTTCTCATATTCAAACGTTTCCCTATTCATATTACTTTTCTATAATTCATATATTTGTATTCATCAAATGAAGATACCCCTGCTCTTCTCTGGACGGAGTCACGATTTACGGCATTTCACTTTTTCCATCTAATCTAAACGAGGTAACCCGAATTCAATTGCCTCGTCATCTTAGGTTAGGCATGTCCATATTCTTGATAGCGCTATGGATCCTTATTCTATTTGTAATGTTCTTGAATCTAGGCCTTACATATAAGGTAGTTGAATGTAGAAATATGCATGTTTTGAAATAGGGGTCAAATTTAACTCCATGATTACATTTTGTGGGCTTCGCACAGGTTTGTCAGGTATCCTAAGTCTTGGTAATCAACTTTGGAGGATTTACCTTCCAAGAAAAAGAAGAAACGGAGTGTCAAGACACGTTCATTATTGCAAAAATAGGAAGTCCTCATTATTCCCCCTCCCCCACTCCAGCATTTATCATTTATCATATTTCGTCACAATTGCCTCCAGTTGTTTAATAAGTTCAGTGCAATCTAAAAAGTGAAAAAATGGGACGATAACTTTTAAACGCACTTCTCATATCACATTAAGTGTGCTTCTTACCGCTCTTTTCGGCTGCTAGCTCGGACTCCGAGAGGCACTCCTCTGGTTGTTTAAATTCACCAGTGATAATTTTCTCAATATCGGCCACAATAGTCTTGCTAATTGGATCGTCGAGATGCAACGAGAAGCATTCCATTGTCTTCTCCGAAGGTGATGACGAAGTTGGTGGCTTTAATATCACAATCTCCCGATTCATCTCGAAGTTGGTCTCGTAGCCTTGAGCGCTGAGAGCCTCATAACGGGAGAGAATTGCATTAAGAAACTAATCAGGAAGCGCATCTAATTCAATCATAGCGATGAAAAGTCTAACAGATTACAGTTGGTAGATATATTTCTTTTTGTGAAAAATTATTTTTTGCTTCTATTCAACCGTAGATAAATGCTCCGCTCAAATTATGAAGGTATTTCTGTGACGATTGACTATAGCACAAACTTTGTAAACGTGTATGTTTCGAAAGAAAGGCTCTTCCACTGCCATAATCTTATGGCACTAGACACTGAGAGCTTACAGCTGAATTAGACTCCGAGGGGGGGGGGGGGGGAGGAAAGAAAGAATACAGTTGTCTCTAAGTCACTTTTAACCAAAGCAAAAACGTATGAACGCTTAGAAAGTTTGGAGATTGGAATAACAGTGCAATAATCACAGCTATTATCTCAAGCTGTCAGGGGTGACGTGCGCCCGCATATTGATAAAGAGGAACTGGGGGAATTGGTGGTCTAGGGATAGACCAATGGCTCTGACGTCTTGACATTTAATTATCGGCATTCTAACAAGAGTGAAAAGCCAGTTATCTTACTCAGCACGCTTGATGCTTCAATCGATGGTTCATGATGTAACCTCTTTAACCTCGGAAACGATAGGCTTAACTTACATCAATGTCACAGAAGAATTCCAAATTCACTTCATCCTCCTGTTTTAGCGCCTTTGCACCGGGTAAAGCCGATTGTAGATTCTCCAAGCTGAAGATGCAGTCACCGAGATTTTGAAGACGACTCTCACCCGGACCCTTCTGCGATGCCACACGCAGGCCCCGTCGAGATGAAACTGCAGTTGAGAGTGTATGTCTGTTCGTCGGTTCAATAGATCTAGAAAAAAAGGAAACAGTTAGCGATTAGTTAAAAATATGCCACTACACACCGAGTAATGCCCGAAGAGTCAAATGTACTTGCACATGAACATCATGAAAAAATGAGCAAATTATAGAATTTAAGCCTCAATTCATATAAAAGAGACGAGTTTTAGCGCATTAGTGAAAAGTTGAGATAAGTAACCCAGATAGAACGGATGCATAAGGAGATAGGCAAAAGGCGGTGCAAACGTAAAATCTCAAGCATGGAATAAGACGTTCTCAACAGCTTGACAGGTGTATAGAGGCACTAATTCCACCAGTAAATCTACTTCAGACAGACAATCGTAAAAAAAATTTTTTTAACACAGACAAAATACACAGCATCCGTTTCCAAATTGGATAACGTGTGAAGTAAAAGAGAACGAAGAATAGGAACGAGAAGAAGAAGAATAACATGAGACCAAATGAAGCATAATGAACAACTAATAAAAAAAACCTCACAGGACTATTACAACAGAATAGAATTATGCGTTAAAATATGGTTCTGATCGAGTGCTAGAAAAATTTTCTAAACCTTCCGATACCAAACCCATTTCGAAACATAAATATGCGCACACTAGAGCAATTCGACTTCCTTCCAGGTTCGTATCTTCCACGTGAAACCGAAAGAAAGAGATCTATTGAACATCGATCATCAATATTGCACAAATTCAAACGAAAAAGCCACGGATCTTCGGGTCGTACTGATATCCCCCCACCAAAGATAAATTTAAATTTCCAATGGTAGAAAGTCAAATCATTCACTGTCCTAGTTCACCATATCAGGTAATTATTCTCTACCCGCCAACTATTAGGAAGAACTCAGCAAACAGATCAATGCTGAGTTTTGGACGAGTTATGGCTCAATACTTCGATAATGAAAAGAAGTTGTTCGAGTAGGCCTCGTCTGAAGAAGCGATGGTTGTCTAATTTCCAACTTCATAGAATACATGGACAAACGGCGTGGTAAAGTCGACTACGTGAAGATAACGCAATCCGAGAAGTGGAAAAGAGGTCATAAGAAAGACGCTGAGTATCGAAAAAAGAGGGAGCTGAAATCGTAACTTGATTCACACAAAACTGCATTGGTCATTATCTGTGCAATTACCTCCAAAGTAAGTTGGTGCATTTCTGTTCAAAGTAGCAAATCAAATTTTATTTGCCTTCCTAGCGCCATTCATCAATGAGGAAATTGAGTCAATTGAAAAGCTGGAAAACTACTCGACGAGACTAAATTGTTATGGAAAGGGATTTGGAGAGTTCCTGTTTGACAAGGACTCTCCCAAATGGCTGAGACAGTGTTCATTAGTCTTGTGATATAAGATGTAAGTAACAAATCTTTGCTTATTTGCAGTTGAGTTAAATTCCTTGTTTGAAAAATGGTACTATCGTTGTTGGCTAGGTAACTAGCTCTTGCAGATTGAATAAGTAGTTCTGTTAAATTTACAGTTTGAGAAAATAATCAAAATGTGGTAGAATTCCAAATGTAAATTCCATACTCAATCCGCAAATCATGAGAATCTGAAAAGATCTAGAGGAGCAAAGTGAGTTCATTACCATTGGGTAGGCTTTTTTACTGCCTAATACCAATAACCCCAAAGGAAAAATTATGGAAATGAGTGAAAGCATCTCGGGAACGTAGTGGTTGCCGCGCATGTTCGCAGAATCCTAATTTCCTACAACAGAGGCTCCGTGGTGCTAAGCATTCAGCCTCTTTGTCATATACCAGAAATAAAAACCAAGGGCGATCGAAGCGCCACATAGTCGAATATCATTCTCATGGTAGCTCCAATGTAAATCCCCCTTCGAAGCATTTTTAGAGATAAAAATACAAAAATTCTGAACTCCATGGACTAAGTCCCCACCCCCCCCAATTCTTCCCCTTAATTGATTTACTAATAGCTATGCGCCGCCTGCTTTAATAGTGGACATTTAAGAGTCATAAGACAGCGACGGATCCTTGCAGCTATGCATACTCTTTTCCTCCTTTTCATGAAAAGCTTATTTAAGTTAATCTAATTATTATGTTTTTTAAAATGGGGTGTGCGATAGACTTACCTCCACGTGGTGCACCCTGGGCAACGTTTACTCATACGGCAAATAAGTCTATTAACCGGCAGTTGACTTCTGACTCCAAATTACCATCACCCCACTGTATGTCAAATTCGACCCCTTCCACAGTACTCATCTTACCTTTTTCTCTACCTTTGTGTCTGTCTGCCTCCTTTACATCTGTGAATCGCTCTTCTGATCCCCATCCCTCGACTTTCTGCCACTTTGATGAACCTTCCTTCTGTGAAGCCCGAAGTCAGCTAAATGGCTAATGATAGCTATCATAACGCCT